AACTTCCAGCGCCCTAGCCTTTATCCTGGCCCTCTCTTCGGTTATCAGGTCTACTGGCGGTATGTCTGATAGAACGAAAGCGGCTCAAAAGAATCTAAAGACTACAGCTCGAACTTACTGCTGCGTTCGATACGGTCTGGCGTATGGGTCTCCTTACAAAACTCCTGGAATTATTCCCTTGTTTCATACTATACAAATTAATGAACCAAATGCTCACCGAATGTTCACGGTTCACTTGGGACAGACATACAGTAAACCAAGAAATCTGAACAATGACTTACCTCAAGGGTCAGTCTTTGCTCCAATATAATAATACCACTTCACTGTCTCATGAATGTACCTATTACCTATCCATAATTTTGCAATTTAGAAAGGCCCTACATTCATCACTTAGTATAGTTGACCCACTTTCAACTTCTCTTTTTGATAAAATGCTGTACTGTTCACAGTTCAACGATCTCGTTAAGGAACAATAAAAATCTGATTATTATTTATTGAGTTAGGGTAACTTTTGAATTGTGGTACAATTTTGTTATTCAAATCTTTGGTCGATGCGATGTGCCATGCATATTGCATATATTATGTAAAAAGTCAAAACCTATATTTATTATCTTATACCGATAATAAATAATAATCATGTATTCATATCTTGCTATAGGCACCCATACATATATTTTTCTTTTAAAGTTTCGGTCAAACACCACTGAAGTGCAGCCGGTAGGTCACTAGCACGCGCTAGGGTAGATCGTACCCAACAGTACCTAGTTTTCAATCATAGGCGTGCGCAAGGGTGTTGCTATTGCAGGGTATGCTATAGAAACACCTGTGAGGTGCAAACACTCACAATTTTAATTTTTCTAACTAACAATAGTTAGTACTGTTAGTAGTTAAAATTTACAAAATAAGAAACATTACAAATTAAATTTATTAATATAATATTTTGAAATATTTTACAATAAGTTTATTCTTGTAGTGTGGGCACACTAATATGTTGTATTGTTGATAATAACATGACATAACGGACTATAATCCATGTATGAAACTAGTACCACAGAATTCTGTGCTGATACCTCCATAAAAACCCGCTTAAGAGGAAGTCGCACCCGCATATGTTGACTCCGTCTTACACACATACGACATAGCAAATGTTTGTTGGCTAGTTTCAATAGGGTATTGTCAGTTTTTATATTAGAGTGAATTGACCCCTATCATCGAACTTTTAGGTAAGAACAGTATCTGTGTTCTCTCGTTGTTTTTTTACGATATTTTAATTTTTAAGTGAGTTATGGGTATGTAAAGTATTCATATTCTAAAATGTTCATAACTCACTTGTCAATTCACTCTAATATAAAAACTGACAATAGGTACCCTATTAAAACTAGCAAACGAAAATTTGCTGTAAGACGGAGACAACACATCCGGGTGAGACGTCCTCTTAATATTTGTCGTGATAATGATAAATTGATTATCTAATGTAATGTAAATAATAATTGTGGTAATTTGTAAATTGTTATTATTTACATTTATACAGAAATACAGAATGCATAAAAGAAACAACCAATCGACTACTTCGTTAACGAAAAATATTTTGTTTTTTTGGATGATAATATAAAACTCGAACATTTCATCAGACAAAAGAACATGAAATTAAGATAAATTGTTATTATGTAGCATTAGATGACAGATAAATGGACTAAATACTCGATTTTCTCAGGAAACATTAGGTATTATTTCAGCAGTAGGTAATACTGCATCTTCGACTGATTCCTACAGATAATGATACCTATACAATTACTTCAAGAAAAACTTAAAGTACATTCTGATTGTTTTAAAACAGAAATCAAATTACTAAAAGAACTTCCAGATACTCCTGAAAAGACTTCTTCTAAATCTATAGAAAATTGGATAGAATGATTAATTAAGTTAGATAGACTAAATATATTTACTTATTTTTTTGATAATTTAAAAATATTTTTGGTTTAACAGTCACATAGCTGTTCTAGTGAGAGATCATTCTCAAAACTTTCGTTAGTGAAGTCAAAGTTTCGGAGTACAATGAAGCAGGATAGACTTGATTCTTTACTTTTTTGAAAGCGAAGACCTATTGACTCAAAATTGACTACAATGTCATTGAAGAATTTAAAATATTAGTTCCCGGGGAAAATTATAAATTTAAATTTAATTTTAAATCATTGTAATAATAATAATATTAGTAATAATAATAATATGTATTGACTTATTAAATATAATTTTCAGCAACACCTACCACTAAGCCCTGCGCACGCCTATATTTTCAGTATTGTTAAGGGGATTCGATACCGTGATTTTCTGTTTTTGTCTAACACACGCGCTACATAGTATCTTAGACGTGTTTTTTGCCAAACATACCAATTGATCTAATGAAGCCATAAGAATTCTGAAAACAGATTTGAATTTGTCGTCAAGTCTACTTGAAATCGATTTTCCCACATTTTTGATATTATCCCCCAAATTTTTTAAAATGTCATATTCAAAAAGAGTATTTAAAAATTCTGGTATTTCAATTTTTGGAGAAGTTAAAATCAAAAAATTAAAAATGTGGGAAAGTCGATTTCAAGTAGTCTTGACGACAAATTCAAATCTGTTTTCTGAAATCTTATCGCTTCAATAGATCAATTGGAATGTTTGGCAAAAACACGTCTAAAATACTATGTCGCGCGTGTGTTAGACAAAAACAGAAAATCACGGTATCGAATCCCCTTAACAAGATTTAGTTTTTATTTTTGTAGCTCAAAACATAGTCTACGCTGGTTAGTTCTACCGTTTCTAACCTCAAATTTTACAAATTGTTTTTTTATCATAAAAGTAAATAATATTTATAATCTGTACTATGCAGGTAGGAACAATTTCTTGTACAATAGAATAAGTAAAAGTTATGTTAGATTAAGTAGACGCGTTATGCTTGAGGGGAGGATGGAAGGGAGTGTCTAGTAGTACTCTAGTGACAGTGTGACACCAAATACCAATTCGAAGTTCAGAACTCATAATCATTTTTAAAAAATTAATAATTTAAACACACATTTTGTTTGTTTTACCAATAGTTGAATTCCTTTAACTAATAAATTATTACAATCAATCTTAGTATAGATCTACAAGGATTAAATGAGAAAATTACATTCCAATTTCTAATACCTTTTAAACCAGTATAATATATTATAGTATATATTATATACATATATACATATGTATATAATGTGTATATTATAATTTATATTGTGTTATACATAGAACATCAGTGTTAAACACATTTTCCTTAAACCACATATAAATTTTTAGATATATGATGTAAGATTAAATAGAATAAATTACATACATTTGACAACCAAGATGTGCTAGGTATTTCCAAAAACTACTATTAAAACCCCACTACCAATATTGTTAGTGTCAGACCCATGTAATCAACTCTATAATATAGTTTTATAATATTAAATTAATATTAAAAATGTATTATATTAAGTTAACATAACCTTATATTAAGTTAATATAAACAAGATAAAAATTAAGACTAAATTATCAGGAGTAATATTAATTTAATATAGAATAATGCATAGGTACTATTTAATTTTTATTCTATTCTGTAATTAATTTAGGTACATAAAATTAGGAATCTAACAAAACTATTTAATTTTATAAAATTACAATAACATTTTAGAATATAACAGTATTTTTTTAAGTAAAAACTAACCTTGCTTTTCAATGAAGTTATTTAAGTAATTATTAATCAATGATAAAATGAAAATTTAATATTTTTTTAAATTATTATTCAAATATCATTATTACTAGGGCTGGGATTTTAATGCCCTAAAAAATCCAAATAATGCACTAAAAAACTGCAGTTTTTTTTTGTTTTTAATAATTTTGATATAAATTTAGTTTGAATGACAATACACATTTTAAAGGATTGTAAAGAGTATAAAAGATATAACTAATCATTTTGGACTTCTTTAATCTGGAAAAAGAATTTTTTTTTAAAGGTTCAGATTATATAATTATTTACCTGGATATAGTAATAGTTTGTTGAATTTAAATAAAAATCTTGAAAAAGCATGTAAAAATCTTAAATTCATATTTTTGATTCCAAGACTTTAAAAATCCTAAAATGCTCTAAAAATGAAAAAAGTACCTTAAAATTTAAAATTGTCAAAAAGTGCAAAATAAAAACTTCTTATTCTGATTCAAAAATAAATTAAACATGTATGTTATAAAATGAGCATCATGTAGCTAGAATCGGAAAATAATGCAAAGTGCATCAAAACCCCAGCCTTAATTCTTACATTCAAAACCAAGTATATTACTCATCAATCATCACAGTCCAACAGCTATTTATTTAGATCATAATATCTTAAGAAATTTAAATACTAACTTAATATCTGCAATTATAATAGTATATAATAGATAATATTATCTGTAAAAATATTAATGAATACCAATATGTATTTTCCTCCTAACGTATACAGTTATATAAAATCAAAACAATGAAGGAAAATGTAAAAAATAAATCAATAAAATAATACAATACATACAAAACTTGATTAAAATATATTCATGGACACGATTTATTTTGTTCATGTACTTATATAGTTTATGCACCAAAATGTGGCACAGTATATGGACTATGATAGAGCAATTTTGTTTCTTTCAGCTCTAAAATAATATGCATAATTGAATATTATTTTGTTAGATAAACTTTCTTGTTGTTTACTGCAATGATTTCATTAGTTCATCTTCTTTACTTTATAAAACTAAACAATTTAATTATAATAGATTAAAATACACAAATATATTAACATATATACACATATGATAATATATGCATAAGAAAATACTTAATGGTCAATTCTTGGAAGTTCATAACAAGGTTGATGATCTTCTAACCATAATACAATATTATATACGATAATAAAAAAACTCAGAAAGCCTATTTTTTTGAATATAATAATAAATGAAGCAAGAAAGCTCCATTAATGACAACTACTTCCAAGGAGAGAATTCTGTAAAAATAAATATATTAGTTAAAAAGCCTAAACTGATGTTAAAATTATATAATTACCCTATGAACATTACATGTAGTCATATGATTCTGGCTATCTAGAAGCCAACCAACATGTATTGCACAATTATAATGTATACTTGATTTGCAGTGACGTGCTGTACATCCAATACTAGCCCCATTAGCACCACAATAAACACAGATCTATGTAAAAAAAAAATGTTTCATTATAATCTATATTTTAACATTATATAAAAATACTCACAGTATTTTTTGCAATTCTCACAATATCTTCCAACCCAACAATTTTATCCCCAACCATATAAACACCAGACGCCCAAACTAAACAATTTTCATGAGTCCATACCTCAATAAATGTTTCTGAAGTATCATTATCATTTAAATTATGCTTAGATTTCTGTAAATTACATTTTAGCCATATAATATGTTCAGTAGTAAAAATGTGGTTTAAAAATACCTTTCGCTTAGGGTTATCATTTGGTTTTACAACCTTTGGTATACTGACATAATAAGGACCAAAAAGATCTCCAGTAGGATCATAACCAATGTCCCTTACGTGAGCTCCTCGAGAACAGAATACACATTTCCAATCACTACTTTCTAAATTGCTCACATCAGGTTTTTCTTCACCATTGCAAACACCAGACTTATATGCTTTTAAAAAATTAAATAATTAATATCAAGTTATTTAAAAAAAACAACAATCTATCAAATTTTTAAACTATAACTTACAATAAGTCTTTCGATTAATATTTCGACCATCTAATGAGTCCTCGTCATCTTGAACATTTCGGTTAATTATAACAAAACTTCTTGGATTTTCTATATTACCACCATTGACTCTTATCAATGGGCCTTTATATTTTTTAAAAGGTTGTTCAACAGCTGGTTTCAATTTTTCAGCTATGGGTAGGTTTTTTTTTACTTTTTTTAATTGTTTCTTATTTTTATTATAAGGCCTTTTTGTAGAAATTATTGGTTTTGATTTATTATCAATCTCTATTTGTTGATCAGGTATACTAGTTGATGTAATGACTCCACCAAATAATTCTTCTAATTTGTTTTCTACTTCAAGAAATTGAGAATGTGTGTCATGAATTTTTTTTGAAGAATTTTCAGATGGTATAGAATCCTCAGATTTATCATGTTCTATTCTAGGTATAGGAGATGGTGATTTAAGTATTTTTTCTACAGATTCTGCCCTCATCATTGATGGTGATGGTGATTTTCTTGGTTTTATAATTTTAATAACAGATTGCTTTTCAGACTCATTAGTTTGAAATATGTTTTCCAACATTTTTTCAACATTATTTGTATCTTCAACTTCAATTTTTATAGGACTATCTACCACATCCCAAGTAACCTTAATATCATGTTTACTACATTTGTTTTCATAACTGTCATTATTAACATTTTTTACTTTTTGAATATGCATATAATCTGGGGCATCACATCTGATTTCAGACTTAATAACTTTATGAGGGTTTGGTGCTATAACACTTATTGCCTTCTCTTCAATATTTCCTATTTCAGATAAATTTATTTGACCATTTACTTGATCTCTTGCTCGTTTAAAACAAAATCTTTCATAATTTTTATTATTTGAAGACAAGTCAATGGACATTTGCTCAGATTCTTTTTTATATTTAGTAAGATCAATCTCAACAGTTCGACATGCTGAAAAACTAGGTGATACATTTGCGGAATGAGCTGGACTAGGAGATGGTGGATCAGGTCTAGATGGAGGCGGCATATTATTTCTTGAATCCATCCACCTATCAATTACAGGAGTATGTTGGGGTTTGTGCATCTGTAATGCAGCAATATTGTGCAAAGAAGCATATGGTGTATTTCTGTAAGCGGCCATATCTATAATTCGATAACAATAAGTAATAACGCTTAACACTTGCCAAAGAACAATTCAATTAATTATTTACCTTGTTTAGTAAACCACGAAGATAGCTGATGAGAAATTGCAGGAGGATGGAATGTAAGTGGATGAGGAACAGGAGGTGTTGCAGCAGTTGCCAAATGATGTCTTTGAGGTGCTGGGGCCGCTGGGGGTAAATGATGATAAGTTGGAAATCTTCCCTCAGACATTTTTATTCTACAATATTAATAAAAGTAATAATATATTTTTTTATGGTGATATGGCTAATTATGTAGATTAAAATTATTTGTTTCTAATATTAAATATTTTGAGTAATCATTAATTGTTCGTGTTATCACAATGTAAATGTTACCCTAGGGAATGTAAACATATTTGTAAGGTTATTACTTATTCTATTTTATACCCAAAACATTTTAAAATATTTTATTTTATAAAAGAGCAATTCAAATTAGTATTATTTACAACACTGACTCTAACGTTAATTAATAAAAAATAAAATAAATATATACACACTTTTGGAAAAGTTGAAAGGTATCAGATGATTTCATTCGACAGTTGTAATTGTTATATCATTCATCTTTACACGTACGTGTTAATTTGTTAAATTTTAATCAAAAATTGTACAATGCATTAACTAGTTAAAACAGTTAAAACTAATTGAAACAATAAAATATTTAATTATTAAATTAAAAAAATGTCACAATAATTGTTACCACTAGAGTATTGAACAAATTCATACGAAAAACTTGTCAGTTGTCACTGCCATAGCCATTTTTGTTGTTGTGGTTCATGTGATCCCTATAACTCGCTCTCTCTCGTGCACACACATTTTTACATTGTCGCCACTACAACGTCTTTGGAACCAATTAAACCGTCATGGACGTTGGATAAATATAATAAATTATATTCCAGCGTCCTCTAGTTGCCCCCATTAATCATTTTGTTAATTTCACATTAAAATACAACAAATAAATTAATATATTATTCATATTATTTCATATTATATAATATAAATATATTGCACATTATAGATTAAAGTTAACATTAACGTTTTATTACATTATCATTTTTAATTTTTGGTAGATTAAATAAGGTTTACTAGTTTACATTATTTAGTTTTTGCATCTTGGAAATATAAATTATAAAAAAAAACTTTAAATAATATGGAAAATATGGAAAAATCACGAAAATTAGCAAATTATTTTGAGTTAAGAATTCGTAAAAATTTTTCTTTTTAAATCTAAGAGTTTAAAATGTAATAGAAGATTCCTTAGAAGATTATCTACCTTTATCAAAAAAAAAAAATGTCTAAGAAAGTCAAATTAAATTTTTATGAGCGTTTGAAATTCAAATGTTTACAACATTGGGTATTCACTCGATTTCTCATGTAACAATTTCCTTATATTGTTGTAATTCAAAAACGAATAACTGTAGATACATGAACATTTCACTGAATGTTTATATTAGCATTTCCTATACACCATACAATTTTGAAAATATTTTGACTCTTTTTGAGCTGTTTACGGACATTTACAGCTTTCAATTTTTTTTAGTTTTTTTTCTATAAATATCAATAAAGTTTTATCTGTTTGGCCAAAAAGTGTAAACATTTAATAGGTACAAGGCTCCTGATATATTGTTACAATATCAGTTGAAAAATATTAAAAATACATAAGCACAGCTTTTTTTTATAAGCATTTAAAGATCGAATTCTGACAAAATTTATCAAATTTAAAATTGAATAATTATTTTGTAGTTAAAAATGTATAAAATGTTCAACTTTTATATCTAAAGATTGAAAATTTAAAAGAAGATTCCATGTAAGTAGTTAATTCTGTTACCAAAATATCTAAAAAATAACATAATCACAGTTTATTTTTATAGTCATTTTAAATTCAAATTTGGACGAAATTACATAATAAAAAACCTAAAATAACTATTTTAGTTATTTTGTTGTGATTGTATAATATTATTCGTGGGTACTTGAAACTTCTAAAGTATACTACTATATATCTATGATAGTATCAGGGTTTGTTGTTGGTGTATAACGCGTTATAAGCAGTGGCGCACACTCAAAATTAAATAGGGGTAGCAAATTGAATCGGTTACTTCTATATTTGCTAATAGACTAATGGCTATAGCCTATAATTATTCAATAGTTTATTTTCAATATTTTTATACATAGTAGAATTTTTATGATGTAAATATTTTGGAGCCAGGAGGTCCACCCACCCACCTACCAAAAAAATCAGGGGTAGCACTTGCTACCCTTGAACCCTCCGGTGTGCGCCACTGGTTATAAGTACCTAATGGATATTGTGATATGATTAATTTGGAATCATTATAGGTCAATTTTTTTAATACCATAAATAAGTATATAATATGTCTTATACTTAGAAGGACATACCGTCTCCGCTCAGAATCGTTTTTCTTATATACAATGATATAATATCATTGAATTCAAATGTAATACCATCCATTATACAGTGACCCACTTGTAACCTACTGTACAACAGAGCGACACCCACTTTCCCGCCTTTTTTTTTTCTATGAATATCAATAAAGTTTTATCTGTTGTGCCAAAAAGTGTAAAAATGTTATACAAAGCTCCTGATATATTGTTACAATATCAGTTGAAAAATATTAAAAATACATAGGCACAATTTTTTTTTATAAGCATTTAGAGATCGAATTCTGACAAAATGTATCAAATTTAAAATTGACTAATTATTTTGTAGTTAAAAATGTATAAAGTGTTCAACTTTTATATCTAAGGATTGAAAATTTAAAACAAGATTCCACGTAAGTAGTTTATTCTGTTACCAAAAAGTGTAAAAAATACAGAAGCACAGTTTATTTTTATAGTCATTTTAAGTTCAACTTTGGACAAAATTACATAAAAAAAAACCTAGAATAATTATTTTAGTTATTTTGTTGTGATTGTATAATATTATTCGTGGATACTTGAAACTTCTAAAGTACGCACTATTATATATCTATGATGGGTGTATATCAGGGTGTGTTGTTGATGTATAACGCATGTAAAAGTACCTAATGGATATTGTGATATGATTATACAGTGACCCACTTGTAACCTTCTGCACAGCAGAGCACCTTTTTATTTTTGTAACTTAACTTTTTATAGTTAATTATCATTGTTGTGCAGTGAGGTTAATTTTCTTTTCGAGTCATGTGTAATCAACAAGGCAACACTGATCAACTTTTTTACGATTTTGGTAATTTATTTTCGAATTATATATTATAATAATCTAATTTCTTACACAGTGTTAAATGTCTTGGTAAATGTTTGTGTATAACAAAATACCATGGTAGTTTATGACTTAAAAATACTGTAACTCCAAAAAAATTAACTTTTTTTTAACTGAGATAAGTTAATTTTATTATATCTTAACTTTAAATTTATCTAGTTGAATTTTTTGCTTTGTTAACTTTTAACTTAACGAAGGCAATTTAATTGAATTAACTTAACTTGTCATAGTTAATTATTTTCATTAACTTGCCCACCATTGTCTAAACTACAACAAGCATACCAGCGTCTCTTTAAGCTATTCGGTATTCCCTATCTTAAATAAAAAATCAGTTATATAAAAAAAATGCTCAATGTTAATTTACAAGCAATTATTACTCTCACTAATTACCTACGCCTGTCCTATCTGGGGTAACTGCTCAGCGACACACTTAAGAAAAATACAAATTTTCCAAAACAAAATACTAAGAATAATAACAAACGCACCATGGTGCATACGCAACGAAAATCTTCATAAAGACCTCCGAATCATCAAAATTCAAGATCATATAAGAGCTCTTGCTGAAAATGTCGGTACTTTTCTAGTTTTCTGTTACCCCTACTACCGCTTGATGTAGCGACTACCACTACTCAATTCTGTTAACTCGACTACCTACTATATAGTAGGTACCTACTATCCCAATAGTTCCGTGTATTTTAAAACATAATACACATGAATTCCATTTATATCAGTGTTTCCCAACCTTTTTACCACCACGGACCACTTTGACAATATTTTATAGGTCGCGGACCACCTCAATTTTACTCAAACTAGGAACACCTTTTTTTTTTTTTTTTGCTCATTGAGTATTGACAAGAATAAACAAAAATTTATTGGAAAATTTTTATTATTTTAGTGTACTATTATATATAATTATTAAACTTTACTAATAATTTACTTAGTGTGATTTTTGTATACGATAAGATAACCGTATATTACGGTAAAATAAAATATTTTTCGCTGTTTAAAAAAAAAAAATAATTTTTAATAGAAAACTAAGAAAGGTACCGCGGACCACCGGTTGGGAAACACTGATTTATATAATAATGTATATTAGTAATTAGTATAACGTTTATTCCCTATCAGTTATCACAGTAGTAGAGAGTTATAATATAGGTTTATTTTTAATTATGTGTAATGGCTTGAGTGTCTTGTGGGAAGAAACTCGAGGGAATTATCACAAAATGTCAAATTAAAAATTATCATAAAATCATCAAGATATTAAATATATATATATATAGGTACCCCATAACTTTTGTGGGTGGGTGACTGCTTAGTGCTTTAAGGTCTTGTTGAATTTGATAAATTACTACTAAATATACAATATCATACAAATTTTATATTCAAACGCTCATAAATAGTAGTTATGATAAAAAAGGCCCATGTACGATTAAATTGTTATGAACTGGATCGGTAAGGCATTTTTATAATATTTATATCCATGTCTATGATTTATTATCGATTTTATCTAAATCGGCTTCGGCGAGGTGGTCGAGATAACAGAATTGAGACTCATGATAGTAGGGAATAGGGATAACAGAAAAGTACCAAAATTTCCATGGTTCACTCCACAAATCTACTGGCTCACTACACTTCAACTTACACATACGTATACCACCTCAAAGACGTCTAAAACGCGGTCGTCCGCATGATCTTATTCGATAATGATTATTAAATAATTATTTGTCACTATTGTTAATATCGCTATTATAAATACTTATATTATCATGTTAAAATTATTAGTCAAAAATTAGTGTTATTTATCCATAGATGTAGATAGCCTTGTCTTATAATAATAATAAAAAAAAAATAATAATTACCTTGGTACTAAAAAAATCATCTAACTTACCTCCATAAAATATCCTAAAGAGGTTTCAAACATATTATTATTAATAATTATGGAGGAATAACAGTGTACCATCTTACCTCGTGATTCGTATACTTGTCTTGGCCCATGTTCCCCGAGACGCAAATAAGGTTCTCAAATGGAATACGGACATCCGGCCGAATCCAAACGGCCGACGGCTATATAGGCCGACAGTCAGATAGCTGAAACTATTTTAGCCGACAAGGTCAAAAGGCCGACACTACGAAAAGCCGACACTAAAATAAATTAAGTATAAGCTATACATTTTCAATTCGATAACGTAGTGTTGTCTTTTGTTGTAATAATGTTATCGATAACTTATCGAAATTTAACGATACCTAATACCTATAGCCTGTAATCTACAGTGGGTATTGCTATTGCATGTTCATAAATACTGTTTCAGTTGATTCGTAACCACGCCGCGTCTTTGCATTCATTTTTGTGTCGTTGTTTAATTTAATTTATGTATTTGCATTAAATAATTATGGAATATAAAATTGAAATTTTTGGTACAAAATTATTAATTGACAATTTTATCATGATTAAAAACAAAAACCGTAACAATAAATATTATTGGGAATGTGAAAAGAGGAAACATACTAAACGGCATAATAGTAATAATGAATATTGTAATGCAAGAGCAGTAACAATTCTTGTTGATGGTAATCATATTGTTAAAGATAATTCTTTTTTAAATCACAACCATGGGCCTGACCCATGCCGATTGTTGGTAAAGAAAAACATAAAATATATTGTTTCAAAAGCTCTGTCTTCGAGAGATAAACCTTCGCAAATAATACAGGAAGCAACGAGTCGCATCCCCGTCAATTCTCAGCCATACATGCCATCAGTTGAAGCAACGCGAAAAATTATTTCACGGTGTAGAAAACATCAGAAACCACCAGAACCAACAAGTCTTTCACAAATAGATATTCCTCTTAACTTATGTAAGTCTTTTAATGGTCAAACATTTTTACTAAAAGAAAGTACTATTGAGAGTCACAAAATATATATTTTTTCTACTAAAGATGAAATATCAAAACTTGTCAATGCCAATTATTGGGTTATGGATGGTACATTTAAAACTGTGCCAAGTATATTTTTACAAATGTACACTATACATGCACCTGTTGGTGGAAATAATTCTAGAATTTTGCCATTAGTATATGTTTTAATGACCAGTAAACAACAATGTTGTTACGAACGTTTATTCGAAGACCTAATATCAATTTGTGATGGTTTCGGTTTCGATGTTTCACCAAAATGTATTATAACAGATTTCGAAAAAGCTGCAATTATATGCTGCATTTAAAGTATTTCCAGAATGCCAACAAAAAGGGTGTTTTTTTCATTTAGGCCAAAATATTTGGCGAAAAATCCAGTCTAGTGGATTGGCTACTAAATATGGAGAAAATGAAGAATTTAGTTTACAACTTCGATGTATGTGGTCACTTGCATTTTTACACCCATCAGATATACCTAATGCTTTTGATCAATTGAAAGATTCATTACCCTATGACATTCAAAATTACTTTGAAGAAAATTACGTGCATGGAAAAGTACGAAGGAAATTTAGAAATGGAATAGTATCTCGATATGAGCCATTGTTTCCACCATCATTTTGGTCAATACATTTCAATCATGAAAACAATATTCCAAGGACACAAAACAAAGTCGAAGCATGGCACAAAAGATGGAAAGTATTAGTAGGAGCTGATCACGTTGGGGTGTATCGTATAATTGAGGAAATGAGAAAAGAGCAACAACACGTTGTGGGTAAGATAAGTTCACGAATAAAAATATTCTACTAATATTACAATAAAATATAATTTATTTATACATACATTTTGATTCCAGGGCAAATTCAAATTATTTTATCCGGACAAGCAAGGCCAAAACAAAGTTCAAAGTACGTAAAACGTCAAAACCAAATTCAAACTATTCTAAATGATAAAGAAAACAGAACAACCCTCGAGACAATAAGAGGTATTGCATACAATTTGCACTATTAATTTTTATTTATTAACATTTAACTATATAACATAATTATCAATTATAATTTATTAGTATTTTTTATTTTTTATGTATAAATATCAAATTTTTTAATTTTTAAAACATATTAGGAATATAAAATGTACTTATAATTATTAACAATACACTAAATTTTATTTTTAAGAATAAGTATCACCTATATATATATATATCTGTGTGTGTGCATAATTTACCTATCTCAACATAAAATTACTTAATCGGCCATTTAATATGTCGGCCTAATGCGTGTCGGCCTATAAATTTGTCGGCCATTTAGTATGTCGGCCTATTGCGTGTCAGCCAAATGTCTGTCGACCAAATGTCTGTCGGCCGATTGTACCACACCCTTCTCAAATGCATGGCTTGAGGGCTTGATATCAAAAGGGTTCAAGAACAAAAAGAGTGCGGGAGATTCGTTTTTCACCCTCTACAGTCTACATACAATATTACCTATGAGACAATTCAAAACAATAAAAAATGAAATGTAAACGAATGTATTATGTTATTGTATAAATTTAGTAAAAATGGTTTTATAGTTTTATACAGTAATAAAATATATAGATATCTTCTGACTTCTCATTTTTATTTAATATAATTCTTGAGTGTATTCTGTTATTAGTCGTGTACCTAACTTTTACATAACTTGACTGATTGAGGTAAAAATTATTCGAATAGATTCCTTGAGTCTTTGAGTATGTTTATATAGAATTTTTAGCCCATAAATTGTAAGTATAATTTATTATAATAAAGATTGGGTGTATATTAAAATGTGTAGTATTAAAATTATGTACATATCTTAGGGAGTGCTTGAGATGGCTCAGAGTGGGCTAAGTCCTTACCCTATATTTACGTCCTTGGATACATATGTGAAAAAACTATTTTCAAAAACATTAATAGTTTTTGAAACAATAAGTGATCCGTAATTCATGATAATAATTTCATAGAATGTTGACAAATATAAATATTTAATATCTATCAGCAAGTTTTATTATTTTTATACTTTAAAAACTGTGGAATTAATATAGGTACCTAGCTACTACTAATATTAACAGTATCCACGGATAGCAGCGGAGGGATCAATAACTGGTAGAATCGATATGTTTAATGTACATATATATATTATTTATAGTAGTTGCCACGGAATCAATATAAACCTTTTTCAAAAGCTGCAGGTAGTTTTAACAGAATCAATAAATCCTTATTTTAAGCTATAATACCTTTAGGTTTATCGTATATAGGTATACATTATACACTAAATTAGGGATGAATTAAGATTTCAGACCAGGAGGTCTATTCAGAAACTCTTACGAATAAGATCCGTCTACGAAAATCGTGGTTTCCACATGAGTAAATGAGTTTTTACATGATCCAGAAAAACAGCAATCTACAAAAAAACAACAGGTAAGTGCAGGAAGTCCCTCTGAGGTACAGTATAAGTTACAAGTGGGTCACTGTAATGGCCAATGGGTGTTAAGTTTGAATTCAATGATATAAAATCATTGTATAGGTACGAAAAACGATTCTAAGGCAGTACCTATAATATTACTAAGTATATATTTTGATGATTATATTGTTATTAAGGTAGGTAATTTATTTTATTATTAGGCTTTAATACAACAGTATCTAGGTTAAATTCATTTCGCAAAAAAAAATTACATTTGAGAATGTCATTGTGTAATAATATACTCTAAAATACCCACGAATATTATTTTTTAATTACAATAAAATAAGTAATAACTTTAATCGCTATTCTTGGTTTTAATATGCAATTTCGTCAAAATTTGAACTTATAATGTCTGACTAAAATAACTGTGTTTAATTTTTATATATATTTTAGATTTTCTGGTTACAGTATGAACTATTTATGAAAATCATTGTTATACATTTTCTAACCTTAGCTATAAAAGTTGAACATTTTATAAATTTTGTAAAAATTTGAACCTTAAATATACTTATAAAAAAAATCGTGCCTTTGGATCTCTATTATTATTTCTCAACTGCTAGTATATCAACTTATGACGAACTTTATGTTCATTTTTCAAGCCTTTTGACCCAACGAATACAATTTTATTAATATTTATAGAATAAAAACTCAAATTTCAAATTTCAAGTGTCTATAAATAACTCAAAACGAGTCAAAATATTTTGAAAATGTAATCATGATAAATGCATGTATAGAAAATAATAATATAAAAATTTGATGAAAATTTCAAGTACCTATATGGTCAGGGCCGGTTTTAAGGGGGGGGGCACCGGTGGGCAATTGCCCGGGGGCGGCACACTTTGGGGGGTGGCAAAATTTATTTAGTTTTGATAACCACTTAAATTAATATTTCCTACCTATTATGGACGGGCCGCAATCGGGATAGGTGAAAAGGTAAACAGTTTAACTTTGGGCCGCAATCGGGCGACGCCCGGCAAAATTATCTCAGATAAAATAAACAAAAAATTAATTTTTTTCGTAAAGAGAAAGATTTCTAAAAAATGATATATTTTATTATTATTTATTTTTTAAATTCACATATGCATACATTTTTTTTACCTATATTTTATCATTTTAAATAAAGAGAAATAAACGTTATTAACTAAGTAGGTAGGTACCTAACATTATTAAATATTAGTGGGTTTATTTTTACTAGTAAACTGTAAAACTAGACGTATAGTATAACTGCGTTGGCCCGTATTGGCAAGTCAGGATTATCGATTGTACTTATTTACTGGCTACTAAAATACATTTGTGTCATTTCATATTATACAACTTGCTAAACTCTATATGTCAGTGACTACGTACTCCGTACCTACATAATTTAAATCTCAATAAGTGAACTAATATAATAGAAATAAGAGTTTACTTTTTTTTGAATTGTTATATAAAATAAAATATTATTATTATTATTATATTATTTATAATAATATTAAAACTTTCAACTTTATAATTGATATTGTAAGGTTGTGCCAGTTAAGGTAGGTACACTACAATTACACAGTTTAGGTTCACTTAAGGGGCCTGCTCGCGATTTTTCAAATTTTCCGCAATTCTATAAAATTTGAAAATTAAATTTTATATTTTAGTTGCCACCTCAATTATAAGACTTTCCACTAATCTACTACCCAATACCTATTTAGGGGGGGTTGATAGGGTGTATTATATCGGTCAAAACACAGTTTACAGGAAAAACTCTCACACCTCGTAGATTGGTCCGATTTCCGTAATTTTTTTTTGTTAGATAGAGGAATATTTTTTACAGGCGCATTGGACTTCGATTTTTGATTACGTCGCTAAAAACAAAAAATAATACAAAAACTAAAAAGTTGTAAAAATTGATTAAATTCAAACTTGTAACATGAGACTTAGAAAAATAATGTTGAAAATCCAAGTCCAATGCGCCCTGTAAAAAGTCTTCCTCTATCTAACAAAAAAAAAATTACGGAAATCGGACCAATCTACGAGGCGTGAGAGTTTTTCCTGTAAGGCATGTTTTTGAGCAAAAAAACAGGTCGCGTGCAGGCCCCTTAAATTACATTGCAAATCTGCATACAATTATTGGATATATTTATATGTTTATATATTTATACATTATACATATGAATTGAATGCAGTAAATATGGTTATTAGTTTTTTACACCAAAAACCAACATTTTTTTACCTACTGTACAGCAGAGCACCTTTTTTAATTAAACTTTATGGTGTATTGGTGTATAGAAAATAATAACATATAATTATTCAGTGAAAATAGCATGTATCTACCGGTAATTTATTTTAAATTTACACCAAAATCAAAATTAATTTTTCCAAAATGCAGTTTTTCCTTATTTTTTTTTGTTTTTCCGGCTCATTTGACTATTTTTTTTTAACCATTTACAAAAGTATATAGAACAAAAATTAAAAAATAATTCATAAAATGTGAGTAAACATTTTTTTAATAAATGGGATTTGTATAAAATATCAAATAAATATATAGAATGGAAAATTGACCAATAAAGGCTTAAAAAAGATTCAAAAGACATAAAATTAAAAAAAGGATTCTATATTAAGTTTTTTTGTACCTAATTTAAACGTTCTGTTAAGATAGTTATATTTTGGGTACAATAAGCTAAAATGAATAAATTTTCCTACAAATTCACAGACCTATTTGATATTGATTTAAATCTTTAATATGTATTATTTTTTAATAGAAATATCAAATATAATGGTTATTGTTATAATAGGAGGAGTACCAAAATATGAGGAGTTTATTACACTTAGCTTTGCTTTCACTAAAATGTTTGGGTGATTTGCGCCTATGACGACTACCATAGAAAAAGTGTAAGATATAAAACTGTTTGAATGTACTGAAGGCTTATATTTTTATAATCACAAATTATGATTTATAATTATTATATCATGTAAATAATTTCATATATTTATTATTTAAAATTGAACACAATGTACCTAACTATAGGTTATCATAAGGCAGAATAATTAATTGATTTGTATAGCTACATATTATAGGTAGGTATATAGTGCCATATTATATAGAAATTAGGGGTGTCACCGGTTTCCGCCAAAAATTACCTTTCCGTTTTCCGCCAAATCAGAAAAAACGTCATTCCTTTTTCCGCCAATTATAAATTATTGAATTTTAAAGTTTAGGAACTCTTACGTAAAGATTTAATAATTGCACACTATAGAGTTAAAAAATAATAATATTTTTTCCAGTTATTACTTATTATATATTAGTAATGATATTAGTGTACCGACAAAATAAGTCAAAAAATATAATTGAGTATTATGATACGTAAGGGTTCCTAAACTTTAAAATTTCAAGTTTCGGCCAATTATTCAAGCTCTGACATACACATATTGATATATTGTCATCAAGACAATGCAAATATAAATATCATTTTTTTAATACTTATAATATCTATTATACCTACCTAATAAGTGTTATGATAAAATTATATTTTTTGCCGCCAGACGAAAACTGGTCACCGACATGTACCGATCTCATTTTGAATGGACTATTGCACTATAGTAGTATAGTCGCGGCAACGAAAAATGAGCGCTGACCGTCATGCGCCAAGCGGCAGTTTATTAGTAGTGGTTATCAATCTTTGAAACAAAAAGCCCTACAGCGCGTAGCTGCAGCACGACAGCTGCACTATGTTGAGAATCATTGGCCGTAAGAGTGGGTAAAAGCAACGGGTCGCGGTACCGCGGCTCATTTTTCGTTGCAGCGACTTTTTTTTATAGATATATTGTAGTATAGAAATCTGTGGGTACCAGCTATAGTAGGTATACCCAGTGGCGTATTTACGGGGGGGGGGGTCCCCGGGTCTCGACCCCCCCAGAAAATAATATAATATAATATAATCATTACATCATAACTCGTATGTGTTTTTTTTATATTATAAACTTGTAGGTAACTAATATTTAGACCCCCCCCACAAAAAATTTGAAAATACGCCACTGAGTATACCTACATCCTATTTTCTGCTTTATGCCTATTGTTGATCATTGATCAATAATAATCGTACCTTTTTAGTTTTTACAAACTAATAAGGAGTAGCTACAATTACTACAGCCAGGGCCGGATCGGCGAGTCTACAGCTGTTTACACGGGCGAGACCCTTTTCGAACAAAATCGTACACTTTCCTTTTCGGCCAACGAAAAAGTTTAATTTTTATACATTTAAAAATGTATTAAAACCTATATAATTGTTGTCTTTGATTATTTGATTATTTGTTTACATACTAATAATTAAATACATAATTACATATAAATAGAAACATCTTATATTATAACTTATATTTTTAATAATTTTCGATATTTATAACGTAGAAAGTAAATATTAAACTTTTTGTTTTGATCTAAAAAGTAAGTGTACCTACGATTTTGGTCGAAAACGGCCATGGCTAGTGCCGTATTTATAGAAATTATTCACCCAGGGCCATACAATTCTGCCTAACTTTTTTGCCTAGAGGGCGGGGGGTGGATATCCAGTGTAAAAATAAATATTATAAATACCTAGATAAAATTATAAAACATAACTTGTATTTTTAATAAAGGAACAAATTCACTTTTGTTTCCACCCGTTTTTCTGATTTATTTTTATTTTTGAAACATGTATATAGAAGTTAAGAAAAAAAAATGTATGGAAATCATTATTTTGGAAGTTATATCCTTCAGAAGTTGTCGATTCTCTGTTTTTGCGCAGACGCGCACACCGTTGCGGTTTATGTCCGCGCACCGGTGCCTTTACCGAATTTTGATTTTTTTTTTCGAGTTTTTTTTTTATTAATGAGTTAAGAACAGCACATATGGATCCACCACTGTCATTGTTGGTATTTAATATAATACATAATATATGATACTAATGATATTATATAGGTATAATATACACAATAACATGTAGCCAGGAATTTTGTGTGTGGGGGGCTAAGTATACAAATACAATATTTATTTCTTTTATTTATAATTTTTATTTTTTTATTAATCTTTATAAAATTCTAAGGTCAACACGGTTAATGAGGGGGGCACCCCCTGGCTACGCCACTATTAATATCAATAAATCATATACATTATCGAAATGATCTAAGCAGTGGCGTATTTAGGAATTTGTCATGGAGAGGGACCAGATAATTTTCAGAAAACGGAGCCGCGGGGGCAAAGCCTCCACACCACCAATCACCAAGGCGCCTTCATTCAGGGCCACGCCCTCCCCGCTCATTTACATAATACCTAATTTGTATAGCATTTTATTGCATTTATTTGCATTTTATACAGCAGTCTTAAAGGGCGATAAGGAGGACTGATAACTGATAAGTTACCACAAAATTTTAAATTTACCATTTCCTTTAGAAGTTAGGAGTAAAGAGTAAAGGCGGGTTTCCACTATACACGTATGCGTGTACGTGCATACAAATAATTTGCTGTGATTGGTTGGTTAGGATCAGTTACCACACGATTAACCACGATACCGTGTTGTTGGACAATCAATGGGCAAAGCTGAACATTTTTTGTGTATAGTGGAAACCCCCCTTTACACCTTTACTCCTAACTTCTAAAAGAAATGGGAATCATAGATAAGTATAGTGATGGGAATTGCGGTTATAGACTATAGTCTTATTATGGATAATAATATAATAGCATTGAGTCTATATCTATACCTATACTCAATGATAATAGGTATCACTGATACAATGCTAATATTATTAATAGGACCTTATACCTGGTACATAAGTACATTATAAGTCTACTGGCGCTAAAAATGTTGGCAATCGACATTGGCGGCCCGGAGTCTGGACCAATGACGTGCGGATATCGGTAGACATAGTCTGTTCCATAGTATAAGCACAGAATTATAGATTCTGTGGTATAAGGAACAAGAAGTATGCTCAATGATAAGACTGCGCATATTTTTTGTAAGGGGCAATATATAATTTATATAGGCAACCAACAATAAACACAAGGCGACGTCACAAGTATACATTTAATCTTACGCAATGCAGTATGCACAAAAACACAAGGCGATGCACATACGTGAATTAGGACGAAAACACGTCGATTCGAATTGATCATACTTTTTATATTTTATACTATGGTCTGTTCCAGTGTTCCACGATTACTATCTTAAATCGTGGTCTGTTCCAAAATGTCAGACTTCTAATCGCTGTTATCAGTTATCACAGTGACACTGTCGCGCTATCAGTTCTACGACTGCGTACAACTAGACTACAACTTACTATACTCATTACTCACCAACACTATTAGGAAAACGAAAAAAAGAACAACAAATTGTATCATGCGTGTCTCTGCAATATAATATTGTGTTCTGGCCATAATATTATATTATGTTGAATGTTATACGATTATCAATTAATTGCAGTTTGAACTACGCGAAAAACGTCGATGTGATTGTTCGTACCGTTTAAAAATGCTTGTAGTTGCCGACCTCTGCCTCGCACAAAAATCCTATTAGAATATCGATTGCGCACACAAGCGTTGCAACGGAAAACGAGAACCTATCGTGTTACTTATTCGCACCCGCACCTACAAGCACACATACTCAAAATGATGGTCAGACCCGATCCAATTAACATGGTCAATCGCGTGCGCCGGACCCTGAACAACGCGATCAGGGATGAGAATTTCTACATGGCTCATCAATTGTACAAGTCGCTGTATTCCAGGTACGTCACGGAGAAATAACAATAATAGTATTAATTACTATTTTACAAATCACAATACTGCTTCAAGTGTCCGACTGTACATTAGTTGTCTATATTATAATATCATCACCGACAATATTATTGTATGCTTGCAGATACATAAGCATGCATAACAAAGACGCTGCCATAATGACACTTCAGGAAGGAATTATTGTCCTGTACGATAATCATCAAGTAATTATTAAACATACATACAATACGTAAAATTTGTTATTAAACTTAAGTACATACTTATTTTAGGTTGGAATTGCTACTGATTTAGCACAACTGTTTGCAAAATCCTTGTCAGCGCAGCATATCATTCCTTCTGAACAAATGTTTGATTTCATAAGAGAGTAAGTTGGATACTTAATTGCTTTTTAAAACCTATGTGCTTAAATTGCAATTTTTATTTAGTATATTCAGAAAATTTGGTCCGTCACTATCTGCAGAACGAGATTCCATGTTGAATCCAATCATACAGTGGACAATTGAACATTGTCCAGAATACTCAATGGGACACCCAGATTTACATAAACGTATAGGATATATCTATTGGTCAGGTATTCGGTCATTCATTCTAATACGGTTTTATGTTTAAAAAATTAATGTACAAAATGTATACATATTTAGAGGCTAACTTTGAGTTAGCACAGCATCATTATTTGAGATCAACAGATGGTTTGGCATTTGCAGCTATGTTGGTAGAAATGCATAAAACACGAGGATTAAAATATGAAGTTGATTTATTTATAACACAAGTTGTACTGCAGTATGTATAATAAAATTCCATAAAAAACAGTTTATATATTTTTATTTCTTTATTTTAGAGGGTTGTGTATGCGTAACACATCAATTGCACAGTCAACATTTCAGTCATATACTAAGTTACATCCTGCTATAAATGATGAACCACCATACATTTTGCCTTTACTCAATTTCATTTGTTATTTACTAAAAATATTAGATGGGTAAGTAACTTACTATTTGTTTTTTATAATTGGTTTGTAACTAATTACTTTAATACCTAATTGTATTATCATTTATGTTTAGAGGAAAGCTAAAAACTTATATAGTACTTTGTGAGCAATATCAATCATCTTTGACCAGGGATCCGAGCTACACTGAATATTTAGATAAAATTGGGCAACTATTCTTCCACGTCAAGCCATTTGAAAGGAGACCTAGACAACATGGAATTTTAGGTAGGTATACATATAGTAGTATTTATTTAGTATTACTTAAATATGTTTTTCTTATCATTTTATATTTTTTATTTAATAATTTCTATAAATATAATATTTTTCAATTTTCTGTTTTAAATAATAATTGTCAAAAATTATAATTTTCTTTTTGATTTTTGAATAATTTTTTTAATATATACTATATAGTTAAACTTAAGCAGTATTAATTGACAATGGAATTTATTAATTTACTTATATTTGTTTAAAATTATTTATGAGATGTCTATGTTACCGTCAATTATGTAAATTAGGTAATAACGTAAATGCTTAGGCGCCTAGCCAATATCATTGATTCCTAACATTAGTAGTCAATATCGCCAATGCCTAGGCAAACTGGCAATATATACAAAGTTGTAAAATTCAAATATTTTGTTAATACATTTACAACTATGAGTAGGAACTTACTTAAATGTCTATTACTGATAGACAATGTTGATAATTGTGTTTAACAAAATATTTAAATTGGGTCAGAAATTTAATAATGCGTATATGATAAATTATACGTTTATACTTAATATTACATAGTAGGCATGCATGTGTACAAATATTTTAAAACATTTTATTATATTTTAATTTTAAAGCAAGTTGTGAGTTTCTTAAAATTCTTAATTATTTTTACATCTTAAATTACTCATAACACGCATTGAAATTAAAATATAACAAAATGCCTATAAGATGCCTTAGGTAAAAATCTTACCTATACATTTTATATGAGGTAAATTTACTCTAATTTTCAAGTTTTTAAACTAACAGATCTAAACGTGATCTTCTGAGTCTACAATTTGGCATGTTATGCACTTCTAAGACGGAAACAACAAATGTTTGTGTAGCGTCCTCTTAAGAACTCAATAGATCACTATTGATTCATTAAATGTTTAGTAATTGTTTATACAACCTGGGATAAGATGTAAATATGTAATGTTGCCACTTGCCAGGTCATAGAAATTAGGTTACAAGTAATTTTGTTTTAAACAAAAAAGTTGCTGCAATACTATAATAACTACTAAAAATGTTTGCTTCAAAATGTTAAATTGTTCTTAACATTTTTATCTTAGAAATGTGTAATGGTGGGTTGGGGGAGAGGGGATGTACATTTTAAAATAATATTATCATTTATTACTATGTTACATGTATTAGAAACAAAATGTAATTAATTATATTCAATGAAACAAATTTTATTAAAGTTATAATAGCTGAATACGCCTGTGGCCTTAAGGGGCCTGCACACAGTGCAAGTCTGGTCCAGGTACCCGGGTCCTATTGGGTCCCGATTCATATTTATGATCCAGACCCCAACTACCACTGTCGGGCCCATTCTTAAATTTAACTGTCCTAATTTTAGTAAGTTTAAGAAAAAATATACAGGTCTCTAACTTATTTTGCACCCAGGACCAAAAAAAACCAGTCCGCCCTTGCCTGCACGTGACCTGTTTTTTTGTTGAGAAACATGCATTTGCCTTACAGGAAAAACTCAAGTCCTTGTAGAGTGATCTGATTTCGATATATATTTACTTTTTGGAAAGAGAAACACTTCTTTCAGGGGGTATTGGACTTAGATTTTCAAAAGGATATTTCTACACCATATGTATAATATGAATATGACCAATTGATATTGGATATGACCAATTTTTACAAAATTTTGTTTTAAGTAGAGTAAGGATTTTCATGCATGACATTTTTTCTGGTTAACTTTATCGTATTTTACTTGTGTACTTGACGCAATACATTTCTAAACAACTATGATCAAATACTCAAGTTTTTAGACTTTTAGTGCATTTTTTGATAATTCATAGAAAATCAAGCACTTTGGTAAATATTTTTCATGAATCAGAGTCAACAAATATATTAAATTTGAATGAAAGAATAGTTTTTTTATTATACATTTGGGGGGTACATAGAAATTGAATTAAAGTACCTAATATAATTAAATTTAAATAAAATAAGAAAAATATTTAATTTTTTAGCCTTATAGGGTGGATACTTTTTAATAAATTTTAATAAATGTTATTTAATCATTTTCAGTGCATATAAAAGTCCTTGCTCTAGTTATAAGCAATGAAGTCATAAATCTAAGTCCAATGTGCCCTGTAAAAAACCATGTACTATTTAAACTACTACCAATCCCTAATTTAAAATCCTTGGTTGCGTTAATGCATCAAAATTATGCTATTCTACATCCTAAGCCTGGTGCTATACATGGTTTGCGTTTTCTGCCGCTGAAGAAGCGTATTACCCTTGACGTGTATAGCTCCTTCGATGTAAACCAATGCATTTTGAATTAGACGGAAAACACTGTGGAATACATCATGTATAGCCCGGCCCAATAGATAATTTCCTTGGTATTTTGGGTAGTAGCTTATTTGATCTTTTGACTACAAAATAAGAAATAAAAACCGAGTAAGTGGATGACCCTCTGATGTACAGTAGGTTACAAGTGGGTCAATGTTTAATGGATTGTATTAAACTCAAATTCAATGAGAAAAACGATTCTGAGCGGGGCGGTTTGTTAGTCTGGAATTTCATATTGTTATTACTTATTATTTATTATAGCCTTAGAGTTGAATAATAATAATAATAATTTTTTTTATCTTTATTTTTAGCTGTTTTTTGTAATTTGTTGGTGGTTTTTCCCGTGGCCTAAAATAACTATTGAGTACCATCTTGATTGAATTTTCTAAAAGATACTATATTATGTTGAAATCAAAGCACTTCTTCTGGTAGAAATTTTGTATTGAGGATAAAAAAAATAAACACCATTGTAAAACCACTATCTTCCTCGCTCCGTTCAGAATCTAAAATGCAAGGATCCGTAAAATATTATAATAATATTAGTATAGTAGATGGAGTCATCAAACCCACATCACCTTAACTTAAACAAAAACTGTAAATTAGTCATAACTCATAATATTATCTAAAATCTGTATATTATTAATGTTATGTAGCTTAAAGTTATTATTATTCTAAATTTTTAGAGTTTTTAAAGTCAATTTAATATTGTTTACTTTTAATTTATTGAAATAATTGTGATAGTAAAATATTATTATTATATTTAAATAAAAAACCATACATTAATACAATTTGTATTTGTTTATTTTTCAGGTAATTTGATCAGTACACTATTTGGTGACTGTGATCATGATGGAGAACCACGTGCCTCATCATCGCGTCCGATAAATGTAGAACCTCTCGATTAACTCACATTGATTTAATAAAAAATAAATACTTTTCAAACAAACACTGGGTTTTTAATTTGTATTAAAAAAAATTAATTTAAACTAAATATTATGTATAGCAATTTATTTGTGTTTTAATAATTATTATTGTTATTATATTTTTGAAATGCGACTTGAAAAACCAGTAATAATATATATAAAAAAACATCATTTTATATTTCATTGCTGTATTAAACTCAATAGTGTGTATATATAACTAATGTATACTTATTGTTTTGTTTAATTTAACATAATCTGCAATCATATGAATTTTTAACTTTTGGTTTTTGCTTATCTTTAAGGATAGCTACAATTATAGTTCTTTAATAAATTTACACTAAAAAATTAAAATACTTATGTATTAAAATATAGTTTATTAAATGTTTTTTAGTATGTATTTATAAGTCTATTTTAAAACTTTTACTAAAATCATACTATGTGTACATACTTATAAATAAATACTTATTATATATAATATATGTAACAGTGTCTGCGTATGCATATATATGTAAAATTATACAAATAATAAAAACTATATTAAAAGGATTCAATATAATTAAAAACATTCTATCCCCTCCTTTTTCTACAGTGTAACCTCAAGATGTTTTGATCCACTCAAATTATCTCAGTTATAGTTAAGCCACTGGCGTGTTTATTCTGATGTTGTATCTTCAAATACTAATGTATATAAAACGTGTAAAAGTTTAGTATTTATTCTCATTTTCATTTTATAAGATGATGTACATAAAGGGGTAAGTCCTACATTTAAATTACTCCACTGTTGAATGATTTAAATAATATTTTATGAATATTGAATGCCTATAAAAAAAAAAATATTCTTTAAATCATTGATTTGGGATAAGGATTTTTTTATCAATTAAAAAAGTATGCTTTATATTGTTAAAAAAACACCTTAGTGCCCTGCAAAAAAAAAAAATGATGAAAAATAAAATTTCAAGTTTTGAAATGTTAAATATTTTTGGTTACAGTATTAAATATTATAGGTAATAATATTACTAGGATGAAATTTAAAATATCAAGTTACATTGTCCTTGTATGGTAATAAGCAATAATGAAGCTCTACAATGTAATATGTGGTTAATATAAAATAATATATATTATAATATGAATTTTCATTGAACATTATGTAGGTTTTATAGTATTTTTCAAATAATACATTTTATGATTCAAGTACCTACCTTATTTTTACTCTCAATTATTAAACTAACTTGACAAACATATTTCCAGCTGTGTATAGATATACCTACATATTATTATCATATAGAGATAAAGTTAAACTTTTTTTATAATTAGCTGAGATCGATTTAATAAAAAATGTACAATTGTTTTAAATAGGTAATTTTTACTCTTAGTTAGTCTAGTTTTCATTTTTATATTGATATTTAAAATTCCACGAGTATTTGAAAAATATCTCACGATGTTGCCAACATAACATTCAACCAATTTTCAATCTATAAAGGTGTGAAAATGTTAACTGAAAAACATGGCATAAAGAGGAAGTTGTACTGCTCGCATGTGTTATCTGCATCTTACTAATATGGGTCATAGCCCATAGGTACCAAGATGCAAGATCAGCAGTTCCCATTCTGTATGATTTGCATTCATATAAGAGTAAATTTACCTATTATCAAACTTAAAACTAAGAACATTATCTGTGTTCTCTTGTTAATGTTTAGCAATATTTTAAAATTTTAAGTAAATTATGAGAAATTTTTAATATTAATATTTTACGTAGGTACCTATTCTTATATTTATTTAATATACTGAAAAATATATTATTATATCGATATATTTGGTTAAATTATTTTCGGTAAGCCATAACCTGTTTATAACTAAAATATTTTTGTATATAAACTATATACCTAGACACATATCGTATTTACGGTACCTACTACCTACCTAGTATAAACGATTATGGTTCTATAATCTATGCAATTCTTTCTATAGGCTATAGAGTAACTGAGTAAATATAAGTATAGGTATATAATATGTGCTACTTTATATGGGTACCTAATTTACAAAATAAAATAGAGCAATCTATCGAAAACTTTTTTTTTTTAATATTGTACTTTTAGGTCCTGAGTGAGATTTATTTTATTTTTTGGATTTCCACTTAAAATATTGGCCGTACCTACGTACTTTTATATTAATATATATTAATATAATGTAGTTTTTACATATTTACAAAAACTTAACGTATAATCATGGTAAATCATAGCTTAACTAGTTTAAGTCTTAGGTTTTTTTTCATTTTTTTGTACTGTAACCTATGATATTTTAATTTTACATTCATGTTCTAAATCAGAAGCTATTAAAACATTTTGATGAAGGGAATAAAAATAATTTAACAAGTGTCAAATAAATAGTTTTTTTTTTATTTTTAAGAATTTAAAATATGAATGTGAAGAGTGGCAAGAGTATACTAAACTTTTTTAGTTTAAACATTAGTTTCATTAACAAAATTAAAAATCATACAATACTGATTTTTTTGTCATGGTGTATAAGTAGATAAAAATTAAATCATAAATTCTTCAAACTAGGAAGTTTCTAGTAGGAACCTATATTATAACATTTTGAATTTCCTGATTGCAATTTGGTTTTGAATACTAATACATATTTTTATTCACATCATATCGTCATAATAAGGTGACACTGGATCGTAATACAGTAATACTTATTTCAATTGTATTAATTTGTAATTTTGATTGAATTTATACAAATAAAATACGAAATTAACATTTTATATTTTAATTCAATAGTTTGTTTTTTTTAAACTCGAATTCGTCTAAATATCTAATATAATATATTTGGCACAAGACCTAATGTTCTCTAATCTTTCTAAATTTAACACGTTGGTCTCTGGATATTTGTCGAAAGTAATAAACCTATCACGATGTCACGCTTTAACGGAACTCGTAAATATTACATGTTTTAAAGCCGGGTTTATCGTATATATAATATATTTTATAACTTAAAATATATTTGTGTAGGTTTGTTAATTATTATTTTTTTTTTTTTTTTAGAAATTATTTAAGATGGACACAAATTGTTTTATTTGCCACGATTATATTTCCGACTAGAATCAACGCTTCAGCAAGTATGTGCTCCCTATACCTATATACGCCTACACTTAATAACTTATACTTTAGAGAAACGATTGTAATGCCAATTATATGTGTATTTATTATATAGTATAATATATATATATATATTTAGATATCATAGCCTATCGGTTTCAGTTACCGCTATTAGGCTATAAAAAAGTATTTTTTACTTTATTTTAAATATAAGCTATATACCTAGGTACCTTCTTATATTAAAATGTACATGAATGTTATTTTCGTTGGTTACAGATAATATTAAACCTCGGACACATTCTGGACATTCTACCGATTATTCAGGTAAATAATAAATATACATATTACCTACCTAATAATTAATACAAGGAAATAAAAATGGGTTCTCACCACTACACACCGTGTCCGTGTATAGTTGAATATTATATTCAACTTGAATAGCCGTATAGGTAACGTTTTTATACCAACATTTGATTACCTACCTACTTCGCTACTTATGTAGTTATGTACCTATTAGATATGTGGAACACGACACGACAAGGCACGTTATTAGTTATTAATTTTATTGTATTATGAATAATTAAATATTCATAATATTATATGTACTGATAGATAGATCCATTTTTAGTCCTTTAATATTATTATTAGAAAGAACTAAATTTGTCCAAATTGCAACAATAGTAATAACAATCGTATTTACTAATAAAAAAGATGGCTCTAAGATATTTTATTATTTAACTTATATTCTATTTTACCATTTTTACCACTTTTTTGGTAAATTTACCGATATTTTTTTTACGTAAATTCTCCATCTCTAAGTACACTGGTACCTAATTGAACTTGATGAAAGTAAACATCATTGGACGTCTTGGAGGTCTCCAGGTTCAAATAATCCGGATTATTGTAATAGGAGTTTCATTAGGTAGTTAATGTAAGCTTAGGTGCATATAGATCCTTTAACAATAATTAATAGGTCAACCAAAGCAAGCAAACCTCTTATAGAAAAATATTGCATTTTCCTGATATTTCAAACCAGTTGAAAGATAAATAAAAAAAAGATTATACAACGATGGTTTTGCTTTTGCCCAATGCACTACCTACTACCGTGTTAACTTCATCCAGCAGTTGTTACTTGTAGTTCGGTGAACGTTATGTAGAATGTAATATTTCCTAAAAAAAAAAGCAGAACCCCGAATACGTCATATCCGTTATTGTAAACGCCATTGACCTCATAGACCTCATACAAATGCTATAAACATGTTCACTATTCACACATCTGTTAAAATCGTAACTACTCGTATTTCACATATTATTATACCTACTATTAATAATTATTATTTATTATGGGTGTACACTCGTCACGCCGTAAAAACGGTAATGTTTTGTACAGATTACGATGAGGACACTAGTAATAAGGCTGTTAAAGACCAAGCATCGGCGCAGGTGCCGTGCGGGGACTTCCGGCCTGGGGAAGACGATCTACAAATAATCGATTTCATTAGAAAATTTGGATTGGATTCGGCTGAAGAAATATACAAAAAAAGTGTAACCAAAGTGACAGGATCTAACCGTTTTCAGACCGCTTATAGGGTGGAAAAAACAGCACGTTTATTAATGCCCACAAGGTATATGTAACACAGTTATCAACTATTGTAGAGTGTCTGAGTCTGTTTATAGACGGTATATACTAATTATTATTACTAAGTATTAAACACATACTAACGTCTAACACCCACAACAATGGTACTTATATGAGTTAATATAATGTCTATTATAAACGAACATATTTCATAGTAATAAATTAATACGTAATATATATTATAGATAATATTATAGTCTACACTAATACACTATTCAGTAGTACAATAGAACTAGTAAGTAGACAACAATGGTAGTTGGTAGGTACCTACTAATAAATATTACTAATAAATTACCAACCTAACCTGAATTAACGCAACTATATATAGTATATACAAGGAAGTGCTTGGTGGCCTATTAGTGCGCTGGTTTAATATAAGTCCACCAACTGGATACTAAAACATTTTTTTACCTATTGGCAATTGGCTATTATTATCACTATTTTATTGACTATAATAATTTAAAAAAATAATTACAATTTAACAATCCACGATAAATGTATTTATACAAAATGTAGTTATACCTATAGGCTATACTTACTTTATAATAATAAATAGTACAAATCACGGCTTGCATTTGAAAAAAAATTCCGTTTTACGTTATTTACAATTAAAACGTTACACACTTTTTGCGTTTATCGTTATCCAGAATTAAAACGTTATTTTAATTAACATTTTCCAACAATCCATTAAGTAATTTACTACTTAATTTTTTTCAACATCGTTTCCAGAAAATTATAATTTATTATTTTTTTAATATTTAATATTGGTATAAATGGTAACATCTAGATTCTAGGTATTTTATATAATTTCTACATGAGGGTCAAGCAATGTGCAAACAGTACTGCCCTCATGTAGTGGTTATACATGGAAAAAAAGAAGGTATTTAATATAATTACGTTGGAAATTTTAATTGAATAAGTTAATAAGCTAAAAACAAAAATAATTAACTAATTAAGTTAAAAAGTTAAAAAAATTAACCTTTTAACTTAACTTAAACTTTTAACAAGTTAATGCTCACCTTTGCGTGATTACTATTATATTTAAATATTATTAGGTACCTACGGATTATTACTATATTTATGAATAGATTAAAATATAGAGGTACACATACTGTTAATACTGTCTTATGCGTTTACAGAAATATATTTCCCTTGGGCATACCTCAACAGTTTTCTTTTATTGCTACCTTCAGCTCAAAAATGGTAACCAGAGCACAGTGGCACATACTTAAGATTGTTGATCATCAGAACAGTACTAATTTACAAATTACACTGAATCAAGTTGTAGGAGCTGTGGAGTTCTCTATTGTTAATTACAATGGGTACTTGCAAACTGTTAAATTTGAAGCAAACTATGTAAGTTATTTTAATATATTAATTTAACAATTAAATCACATATTAGAAACAACTCATCAGTCATAGTATACTAACTTTTTGGCTTATACTAATACAATAGTGGATCCAGAAGTCACCAAAAGGGGGAGGGGAAAATTTTCAAAAAATGTATGAAGTACCTTTTTAAAGCCCAATATTAATTATGATAATAAAAAATAACATAAAAACCAAGCAAAGTATTAGATTTGGTAATAAGTATCAACTAATAAGTAATAATCATATTAAATATATTATGTATTGTTTCTAAGTTTAATGATAAAATATATTTTGTGGATGTTATACAAATACAATATTAATTGTATTCTATTATTATTATTCTATTTGAAATTTGAATGCTACAGGTAGGTACTTATTATATAATGATAAGTTCGGCGGAGAAGTACAATTAAACAATTTTTTATCTTCTATTTATATTTCTGTGGAATGATGGCAGAAGCTGATATGTACATTTCGTTAATTTTTGAATTATCATTTAAATAGTTTAGAAATAATGTATTTAAGTGGTGGAAAAATATGATATGTCTCTATTATGTGTGTGGCGCCATTTATGTGCAAAGACCAAAACTAAGAAGTCATAATTTGAATTTGAAAATATATGTAGCGGCAAAACTAAGTTTGTTGTTCAGCTTCGGGCATCGTTCCACAGAATTATTATTTTAGCTAAGAAAAATATTTATCAATTAAAAAATAAACCATGGTTTTATTTTAACTTATGTTTAAATAGATTAAATAGGTAGATAATAAGTATATACAAACTAATTTATTAATTTACGACAAAATAATCAAATAAAATATGTTCAAACTGTTTAGATTTTTGACAGAAATTGGCACAAATTACATTTCGGGGTATTTTACGATAGAGTAGTACTTTATATAGACTGTAAACAAGTTGGTGTTAAAATGTTGGAACCTAGAGGTACAGTGGATATGTTTGGTAATACAGCTTTAGTGACAAATAACGAATACCAAGCAGCACCAGTAAGTCGCATTAAAAACTATAATATTAATTTTAAATTATAAATTAACTTAATTTAGGTGGATGTACAATGGATAACACTTAGTTGTGATCCAACGAAACCTCAACGGGAAGGATGTGCAGAATTGTATCTAGTAATAATTGAGAATAATTCTTACTTATGTATAATTAAAAATTTTAAGTAATTTAAAAGTTAAAACTGTCATAAAGATGAGAGAAGAAACTGTACAAATTCAGCAGCCAGATGTAGCTACTACTGGTAGTAATTGTCCATACCGAGAAAATCAATGCGCAAACAAACTTCCACCAATTGTGAATCAGAGTAAACCTGGACCACCGGGACCGCAAGGTCAAGAAGGGCCACGCGGACCAACAGGACCACAAGGCCCACCAGGTCAACCAGGAATTCCAGGAGCGGAGGTAATAAAAATTGTATTTAAGAGGATGTCACACCCGCACGTCTTAGAAATGTAGAACATAGCAAAAACTGTTTTGAGCGGGAAAACTCTGTGTTTGTAGTAGTAGCTCCAAAATGTCTAAACATATAGGGTGGAAAATTATCTATGCAACAGCGTGCCCATATTTTAGATAACATAAATACAATACAAGTTATTTGCTTCTCAACATTTGGTTTTTTTTTGCATTTGCTTATAAAAAATGATTGGATAGTGCTATTAAAAAAAAGAGCACGTTGTTGCACAGATAAAGTTCTTCTTTACCTGTTGTGAAAATTTGGTAGTTCTACAAAAAATTTGGTGCGAGAAAAGTTGTCCCTCGCAAAACAGTTCCATAAATATCAATATGTACAATTTATTTAAAGGGCCCTCGAGGATATCCGGGTTTACAAGGTACACCAGGTATACCAGCATTGCCCGCTTTACAAGGAGAAAAAGGAGAACAAGTAAATATTGACTAATTCAAATTATGTAACTACTTATAAATAAATTAAATTAAATTAATTACAGGGAGAACCTGGAATTCAAGGTAATAGAGGTGAACCTGGACTCCCTGGAACCATAACTTATATTCCAGCTAAACCAGAAACACAATATATAAGACCGGTAAGTATTTAATATTTATTTGCTAATATCTAAGGACTAAGACTCTAAGTTGATAAATTAAATATGAATTTCTTAAGAATGTAGATGATATATTATTCAATGAACTTGAATGCGAACATTTTACTAGTCCCCGAGGTTTCGTAAATTTAAGCTTAAACCACGTTTGATCTATGGTTCTATGATAGAACTTCTATCACAAGTATATTTCTATAAAGGGATCGCAGCACACGTATTTTTTATACGTTTTAGACCAATAAGCGGTGGTACATTCTTCATATCTACTTAGGAATGTCCGTTTTAAATTGTTTATACATGTATGAACTCTTTGACAAAATATCTAGGCTTTTTAGAAAGTTGATTTTCCATTTTTAATTTTAAAAGACCTTAAAGTTAAGATTTTTTTTCAAAAATCCCATGAAATAATTGCTTTACATTTGTATTTATTATGGGCACATCTGATTTTAAATCAAAAAAGTGATTCCTAAAGAGCATAGTCTAGGTATATAAGCTTATAAATTTGACCATTTTTAAAATATTACAATCGATTTTCAGGAAGTATAATTAATTTACTACCGCTTTTATAAAAATATAAAAGTATATAGTATATTGTATATATAGTATAAATAGTATTTATACTTTATAGTAATGCAAACAAGAATATTTTCATTTTTCGTGAATTATTGACATGTGCGTGAGTGTACGAGGGTTGCATCCGGCGGCGGTTGCCCTTACAGCGATTCTCAGAAACACACACTAATCCAGAAGTCTGACCTAGCACTAATTTAAATAAATTTAATTTACTGGTCGAAAAATCATGTCAAAATAAGTGAAAATTTTGTTTTCATAATGTGTTACTGTTCAAATAGTATTAAAAATATAGTACATAAATATATACATTTGAAATTATTGTTAATAGATATTTAACTGTTCTAAGGCTCTGGGGGTCTGGGAATTCTTTACAATTTGTGCACCACTAAAAATATTTGCCTAGTTGTGCAATTAGATACAAATATACAATTAGATACTTTAAACTTTAAAGTACCTAATATAGGCTATAGGCTGATAGACCTTCTACTCTCAGAATTGTGTTTTGTATGCAATGATGATACCTACTGCAGAACAACAGAGCGATTACGGTTACGGTTACCTATACCTATACTTTCCGATTTTTTAAATATTTTGCCCATATATTTTTCACAGGGAACACTTAGCACTCCAGGTGAAAAAGGAGACAGAGGAGAACCCGGATTGCCAGGTTATTCAGTATGTTATTTATTAATTATTTCTTATGATTTTAGTAGTGTTGTAAAGAATAAAAAATCTAAACAATTATTTAAAATAAATTCGAATAATAATCATAACATTTTACTGAAATACTTAGAAATAAACATGTTTATTACATAATGAAATAAATATAAATTAAGTAAATTAAAAAAAAAACAATACTTGTATTCTTATTTTGTATTGAATATTTTTACTTAAACGTTTCTACTTTGATAAGTAGTACCTAACTTTACAACACTGCGTATGAACGTATAATATAATAATAATATGTATTATAATTGCACAATTACATTTTTTTATTAGGGAAATGGTTTTACTGAAAATGAGATAAAAGAAATGTGTAAATCAATTTTGAAAGGTAAATTTATTATTTTTTAAACTAAATTACGAATTAAGCCGCACTCAGTACTATATAGTATAGTGACTATACTTTAGCGCCATATTAAGTCTCAACATATTTGTATTTAAATGTGTCTTACAAATAGTTAGATAAACATCAAAAATCGAAATTTAGTAAAATAAATTTATTTAAACAAAAATAAACAAGTTTCCTAAGTTCCCAATATTAATATTTTAGTTGATTTAAAAATTGACTTGTTAAAATCTTATAAAAATCGATTTCTAGCATACACCTACAATTTACTTGATCCTTTTTATATATATCTTAAATAATATTCATTCCGGAATTTGCACTCTACCATGCCTTGCTCCAACCATATTTTGAATGTATAGATTTTAATAATATTTTGATGATCATTCCTAGAACAATTAGCAGAACTAACAAACACCTTCATTGGTCCACCTGGGCCTCCAGGTCGGTCAATAATAGGTAAACCAGGTCCACCAGGTATCCAAGGTCCACCAGGTAATTTTATAACATGAAAAGTTTGTAAAAAGTGAACGAATTAAATTAATATATGTTATTTTTAGGGGAGCCTGGGTCACCAGGCTTAGGAATGCCGGGTGAAAGAGGTTTTCCCGGATCTCCTGGTATGCAAGGGTCAACCGGTAAGTTTTAACTCTTACATTTTTACGATTAAGGAAAATAATAATGGTTATAATTTGGATAAATTTCTTATTAGTTTTATTGTTATTATTTTTTATGACTATTTTAATAAAAGAAAATGTCTATAAAGAGGTTATATACATAAAGAAGTACCTCTCACAGTCTCGCTAGAGGTTTATTAAATATAGTATAATGTATTATTAAGTACGTGAGAAGTCAGTAGGGTACGCAGGATTTTAGTTCGGTTAGGGTTTTACCTGAGTAAATAATAAACATTATTTTTTTCTAAACTGCAGTTTTTATATACCTAACCAATTAAAGTTAGTTTCAAATTTGGTGATCTATAAAGCCACCTCGGGCCGTAATAAACGCGGTAATCACAAAAAGAGTCAAAATATTTTCAAAATTGTATGGTGCTAAATATAAGGAAATCGTTACATGAGAAATCGAGTGAATATGCAATGTTGTAAACATTTGAATTTCAAACGCTCATAAAAATTTAATTTGACTTTTTATAGAAATTTTTTTCTTGATAAAGGTAGAGAATCTTAGAAGGAATCTTGTATTAAATTTTAAAATCTTAGATATAAAAAAAAAAATATTTATGAATTCTTAACTCAAAATAATTTGCTAATTTTCGTGATTTTTCCATATTCTGTCAAGATTTGAACTTTAAATGCTTATAAAAAAAAACTGTGACCAAGGATTTTTAATATTTTTCAAATGTCACTGTAAAAATATAGTAAGAGCCTTGTATTAAATTCTCAAGTATTTTTCCTCAACAAATAAATTTTTATTGATATTCATAAAAAAAAAAAACTTAAAAAATTGGAAACTGAAAATGTAACTATAAACAGTTCAAATTAAATCAAAATATTTTGAAAATGTTATCGTGTATAGAAAATGCAAATACAAATAAACTGTGAATATTTCATGTATCTACGGTCATTTGGTTTAAAGTTACACCAAAAACCAAATTCGATTTTGTTAAAAATCGATTTGATTAAAAATTCCCGTTTTTCCTTAATGTTTCTTTTGTTTTTCTTGGCTCTTTTGAAAATTACTGGGAATTTTAAATGTTGACCTCCACAATGCACCAACAATATTCACTTTCCAATCGAACAAAATACTGAAGTTGAAAATCGAAGCATTATTTCGACTACTTATCGTGTACACAGACACAAAAGTAAAAAAAAATTAAAAATTAAAAAAAAAACACACATCATTGTAAAATCAATACATTCATCGTTCCACCCAGAATCTAAAATTTTCGATAGTTTTCAAAAGAACCGGGAAAAACATTATACAAATTAAGGAAAAACTGTAATTTTTACTCAAAATCGGTTTTTGACAAAATCGATTTTGGTTTTTGGTGTAACTCAGAACTCTAAAACAAATGAACGTATATATACATGAAATTTTCACTAGTTGTTTATATTTGAATTTTCAATACACGATAAAATTTGAAAATTTGATTTGTTTTCAACTGTTTAGAAACATTTCCAGTTTCCAATTTTATTAGTCTTTTTTTTCTATAAATGTCAATAAAGTTTTATTTGTTGGGCCAAAAAGTGTAAAAATGTAATACAAGGCTCCTGATATATTGTTACAACAGTAGTTGAAAAATATTTAAAATACATAGGCAAATTATCATTTAAAGATCGAATTTTGACAAAATTTATCAAATTTAAAATTGAATAATTATTTTGTAGTTAAAAATTTATAAAATGTTTAACTTTTATATCTAAGGATTGAAAATTTAAAACAAGATTCCATGTAGACCCACGGGTTACTTTCCATGTAATATCAGGCTGCCTATGACATCCTCATGACAAATAATAATTATTATTGTACATTTATAATAGCACGATAGATGTATTAACTACTTGAAAGGGTGCCTCTCTGTTGGGTAAAATAGTTTGAAAATTTAATACAAAGCTACTATATTGTTACAATTACATTTGAAAAATATTAAAAATCCTTTGTCACAGTTTTTTTTTCTTTTTAAATCATTTAAATTTAAAAGTTTAAATCTTGACAAAATAAGGAAAAATCACAAATATTAGAAAATTATTTTTAGTTGAGAATTCATAAAAATATTCATTTTAAATCTAAGATTTGAAAATCTAATACAAGATTATTTATACGTTTGTATACTTTTATCAAAGAAAAAATGTCTACAAGCAAATCAAAATAAATTTTTATGAGCGTTTGATGTTACTATTTATACAATATTGGATATTCACTCGATTTATCATGTAGGGGTTTTGTTATTTTGTTATTATTCAAAAAGGAATAATTGTAGATTCATGAAAATTTTACTGAATGTTTATATTTTCATTTTCTGTACACCATCAAATTTTGAATATATTTTGACTCTTTTGAGCTGTTTACGGACATTGTCAGTTTTCATTTTTAAAAATTTTTTTTCTATAAATTTCAATAAAATTGTATTTGTTGGGTAAAAAGCGTTAAAATTTAATGCAAGGCTCCTGATGTGTTGTTACAATAGCAGTAGAAAAATATTAAAAATACATAGGCACAATTTTTGTTTAAAGTTTGAATTTTGACAACATTTATCAAATTTAAAATTTAATAATTATTTTTTAGTTAAAAATTTATAAAATGTTCAACTTTTGTAGCTAAGGAATGAAAATTTAAAACAAGGTTCCACGTAAATAGGTTATATACTTATATATAAATTACTTTATTCACAATAATATCATCAAATATAATTATTAATATCATAGGCTGACTGATCGTTTTTCTTATGCAATGATATTATTACATCATTGAATTCAAATTTAACACTATCCATTACAGTGACCCACTTGTAACCTTTTTATTCTAGTACTGTTGAATTCTTATTGGTAGGTTCTGAAGGACCAGTTGGGCCAAAAGGAGATAAAGGAGAGCGTGGAACCGAAGCTGTTGCATATGAAGGACCACCTGGACTACCCGGTCAACCAGGTATTAATATTTAATATATATTTATAGCCTAACATTTTTTCTAATGTATTAAAATTTATTTTTAGGTCCAAGTGGAGCACATGGCAGACCAGGAGATAGAGGTGAACCAGGAAGACCGGGTATAAATTTTGTTTATTACATACGCTTACATAATTATTTTTTAATGTTAATTAATTTAAGCTATAAAAACTAATATTTTTTGCCTTCATACTGCTTGCTAAATTTGATCTTGATTTGATTGATAACTTGCATTTTTTGTAAACAGGTCCAATTGGTCCAAGTGGTTATCCTGGACCTCAGGGTTCACCAGGATACTGTGAAATGTGTAATAATGCCTACTATGCAGGTAGACCACCAACAGCAGGAAATTTCAAAGGACCTTGAGCTTACATGCAAAATATGTACCTATACAATATATTATTTTATATTAAATTACATATATATTACTTATATCAACTTAAACTAATAAATATTTATTAAAATAATAATAAATATTTACAATAAAAAAGAAAACCATTAAAATTGGTTATAATTTATTGATTGATACTAACTCAAAAACTTTCTAAGTCCCTAACTGATAATACGTATTCTAATAGTAAGTGTATACTAAAGCAAATCTTGCAGACATTAAACTAATTTAAACAATATTATTACTCTAGTTTTGATTGTGTAAAACTGACAGCTGTAGAAGATTCAAAAAATTAAGTATTTGATTTTTATTTTAATGCAATTTTTCTAAAATACTTGAAAAAATTGTAAAAAAAAGAAATTGATGTCCTATTTAGAAAAGTATGAACTTCTCTCAAAACCAGTGTTAGGAATAGATAACTAAAATAATATCTAGATAAACATATTAGATTATTGAAAGGAATTTATTTAGATAAAGATAATAGATAAAAATACATAAAGTATTATATAGATAAAGATATAAGATAAATGTAATTTATGTAGTTTCGGAGTTTATCCCTGCAGACAAACACGTGATACCAGATTTTTTATATACCTATATATAAATATATTATATAAAATCTAAATATCACTGACTCACTGATCGCTGTATCTCAAAAACTACACGACGTACGAACTTGAAATTTTGAATAGTTGTTCTTCTAATACATTCACAGTGCAATAAGAAAGGATTTGCCAAATTTCGTATTTTAAAGAGGTGCTCAAACAGATACATTGAGGTTCACGTTGGAAATTTTATTTTTATTTATTGATAGTTGCTGTTGGTTACAGTCTACAGTAGAAATTAGTATTTATTTATTGGTTGCCATTAGTTATTCGGACAGAACCCTAATCAAGTACTGCCAGTGCCGTAAAAACTGGGTGTGCAAAGTGTGCACCGCACACAGGCCTCGGGCCTCATAATATATCGAAGGGCCTCAAAAGATCCACATACTAATATTAAACTAATATAAAATTATTAAAATATATAAATTATTTATTATTGATTTGGAAACGAAACCAATTGAGAGGAACGAACAAATGTATTGATTTTACAAGATGTGTATAATTTTTTTCATTTCTGTCGGTCATCAACAATGGGTAGTAAAAATATTCCGAATTTCGAGATCAGCATTTTTTCTATTAGAAAAGTGAATCTAGTTGGTACTTTTTGGATATCGAAACCGAAATTTTTAGTTTTAGATATTAAAAAGTGTCAATAAAAAAAAAAAAAATTGTCATTTTTACCTAAAACTAAAAATTTTATTTTTTGGTGTAACTCGAAAACTAATAACCGTAGACCATTGAAGTTTTCACCAAATATTTATATTAATATTTTCAATAAATTACATTTTGGACAATTTTTACTTTTTTGAGTTAGTTATAGCCTTGAGAAATTGTTTTAAAATTATAGATTATTTTAAATTAAACATTTTTTTTTGTTTAAGCCCGAATTTTTGTCTGCTGACTTTAAAAATTGCAAAAAAAGTTTTTGAGGTGTGTATTGAAAAAGATAATAAGGGGCCTCAATATTTTGGTTTTGCACACAGGCCTCAAGTAGCCTAGTTACGGCACTGAGTACAGTAATAGATATCTGTTACAAGATTTGTTCAGTTTAGAATATTATTACAACTAAAGTCAATATTTTATTATATTGTAAAAATTGACTTACACACTCGACAATACGAAAAAAGCAACAATAGTTTTTTGTGTTCACAAATTTATTTTTAATTATCGAACAAAAACAATATAACATTTTTTAATTTTGAATATAATTTCAAAAACGGAAACAATTTTGGAAACGGTTGCCGTTATATTATTATACAATTTTGTATGTTCAAAAAAAAGTTAGAACAAAAAAGAAAAAGCCGAAATTTGTAAAGTGAATATTATTCGATATAAGTAAAGAAAATTTAAATACAAAAAAAAAGGCATCGGTCAAGACGACGCGATGTGGGGGGGGGGGTACGTGGTGGCGAGTTGGTGGTGCTGATGATGTATTGGTAATTGGTATATGGCCACTGGTCACCTCTACAACGTTCTCACGGGCTGTCCTGCGGGGCGGACGAGAGTCGCGGGCGAGTTTGCTCGAGACCGCCAAGACGACCATGGCAGCGGATGAAGCCCGGCCACGACGGCTACGAGAGCGACGACGATTGGCGACGAGAGGCTAGTGCGCGATGTCGTGCGCTGCTTGACGGTACTGCGGGTGCTGAAGACGACTGCTTGTGCCGGCAACGACGGTGACCTGCAAAGCTCGGAGAGGCGAGCTGGCGACTACGATCTCGGTGCAGCTGCGGAATCGGCGGCGTTGCGACTCGGGATCGGACCACTGGGCGAAAAAGGGAGAAAATCTGCAGACAGCTTCGCGACGACGTGCCGCTGTCCTGATAGTCTCCGTGATTTTCGCCCTGGCGTCTCCGTCTGCCGCAGCCGATGGCCACGGAGCCGCGCACCGTCGAACCCGACGAAACGTTTCGTTTCCTCGAGCCCGGCGCTGCTGACGTCCGTGGCGTTCCTAGCTATACCCTGTAATCATAGTCATCCGTCACTCACCCGCCGTGAGCTCTGAGGTCTCCGTCGCCGCCGTCACGCGAGTCGCGCAGCACTGCAGCGTTCGTCACTGAGCAGGTACCGTGTCGGGGACGGCGTCGTTGTCCGCGCCGGTACCGCTAACCTCCGTCGTCGTCGTGTCGTCGTCGCTCCCGGACCGAAGCAGCCGGGCGCCCGCCGCGCCGCCAGAGGGTCTCGCGTGTCTCGGCGACCTCGAGCTCGCAACGTCCGCGATCCCGTCGCGCTGCCGCAGGATGGCCGGAGAACGTGTATCGGCGACTTACCGCCGGTCACCACCTGAATGTGCACTGCCGCGTACCTATTACCTCGAAACCCCACACGTCGCCTCGTCTTGTCCGCTGCCCTCGGCCAGGGGGGAAACTTTTGGACGGTTTCACTTCGGGGGACAACAACAGCGCAACACGCGTGCGGCTCTCGTCAGGCCTCTCCACGCAGAGGACACCAGTCTCGCCGTTGCACTGCGCGGAGCTGCGCGTGTTTCTGCCTTGACCCCCGGGTCCAGCCAACCAATCAAGATCCCGATACTATTTCTGACTTCCAGTCCTCTGGCCGGTGTGGCGCCCACCGCCTCGCCATCCAGCTCCTTTTTCGCGGCTTCCTGCACCGGAGGCGCGACCACTTCAACGATCGGTTCAACCGGTTCTGCCATTTTGTCAGATTTGTCGACCGGTTGAAAGACGTTGGACGGGACGTAGTCGTCCCCCGCGAAGCGCGTCGCATACGATAAAAGTCCTTCTAGGTCTCCGATGGTAGGCTCTTGGTCGATGTCGTCTATTCGTTTAAGTTCTTCTTCCATAATCTCGTACTCGACGTTGCTTATTATTTTTCCCAAGATTTGCATGATAGTTGTTTCCATTTCCTTTTCTTCGATATGCGATGCAGCCATTTTTTCGTTCAGGTTTTTTTTTGTCCGCGTAAGGTTAGGTCAGATTATATACTCAGATGAGCTCAGAGTTGCAAATGTGCCGATTTCGGTATTTATTTCTGGGCCGTCGACGATGATTTTAAACAAACATCGTTTATTAGTAGCCAGCATATTATTATATTAATCGACGGCCGGCATCAGCTGGATTTCGGGCCCGTTAATTTTTCCAAATGCCATTATTACGACTATTATTGGTATACCGACTCTAACTAGTCTAACTGTATATACTTACGCAGAGGTACACTATAATAATTATATTATAATATTTTAACGAGGATTTATATGTCGATCTGCATTATATTACTATACTGTCGTATATATAATATATATACTCGCTTTATACTTTTGTAGGTACCTATAAGATTTTTAGATTCAGAACGGAACGCGACCAATGCGTATTGCGATTTTACAATTATTGTTTTTTGTGTATGTGTTGGGGTGTACCTATATTGCGTTTTATACAGTGCCGTAAAAACCGGGTGTGCAGAGTGTGTACCACACACAGGCCTCGGGCCCCATAATATATCGAAGGGCCTCAGAAGATCTAAAGACTAATATTAAACTAATATAAAATTATTAAAATATATAAATTATTTATTATTTAATTTTTAACCTAGTAAATTACTAGGTTTATATGATGGCGTTAAAACGGTTTATACTCAAACCGTTTTGAAAGTTAAAACGCTAGCGCTATGTAGTTTAAGAATTTAAAACCGTTTTATATGTTTTGTTATGCTGTATTTAATTATTTTTGATTATCGCATTCCGTTATAATTACGTTTACAAACATGTATCGTTTTTTGTAAAAAATAAAACATTATAATCAATAATCATAATGTTATTATAACGTTTGCAAGCTCTGCCATATCCATAAAATATTGCAATTTTTAACCACTTCAAGATTGAAATTCCCAACTTACCTATTTAAATCACAATAAATTATATTTTCAATTAGGCTGAATTGTATTGTTAATTTATTTATTGTACAACCTAATTTTTTTATGGTCTATAGAACTGGCCCTTTTGAATACAAAAAAATCGGCAGAATTGTCGACCGGTTTTTTTGTCTGCTGACTTTAAAAATTGCAAAAAAAGGTTTTGAGTTGTGTATTGAAAAAGATAATAAGGGGCCTCAATATTTTGGTTTGCACACAGGCCTCAAGTAGCCTAGTTACGGCACTGAGTACTGCAAGCTTGCATCAAATCGAATTATTGAACATTGCCTACCAAGGTGAAAGAATTGCCCTTTTCCCGCGATCCGAGTTGCATTTACTGCAGCAAGTTACACCCAAAAGAAGTTGAACAATCATAATTTTTTTTAGAGTTGAGATTTTTTACGAGAAGCTGAGTGTACAGGTTCATCTTCAGCTATAAAAATACATTTATCGCTTCGATTTCAACATATAGTACCTTATATTTTAGCAAATTGGATCAAGAT